TCTGTCAACAAAGGGATGGCCTGCACCCACGGAAGCAAGCTCTTCTCCACTCATCCTGGGCCAAAAACGTTCAGTGTTTGTCCCCATCCAAGTTTTGCAAAACACCAGCCTCCCTTTTCTGTTCTAGACTCTAGGGCTCGGTGCCCTTGAATAGATTTCAAACCTCCAGGAAGTGATCAGGATTTCCTATGCCTCACACATACTCACTTGCCCACCCTTGAACTTTGCCAAGATTAACACAGGAGCCTGCTTTTCACTTTTCCTATTTCTATCTCCCCACCTAACTACTGCAAATAAAATCTGCCCTGACATAGAAAAAAGGTAATGGTAAATTTTCTTTCCCTTTAATGGAAGAGTTTTTTTCCTTCCTCTATAGCAGGGGTGGGGAATGTCCAGCCCTCGGGCCGTATAAGGCCTGGGAAATCATTTGGTCTGGCCCTACCAAGGCATTAGGGGTGAGTTGATTAAATGTTTGACCAAATATAGCAGGCTAATTTTTAAGTTGATAATTTTGTATGACCCGAGAATGATGTTATAAATATCCAAATGGCCCTTGGCAGAAAAAAGGGTCCCCACCCCTGCTCTATAGGATTAGCAAAATATTTCACACTACCTAATTTCTTCTCCCTTAAATAAAAGAAAAATGTATGTAAAATTACAATAGACACTGCTGAAAAGGGGCTGGTGGTTTAATCAGCACACTCCCCTCTCCTTTCACTGAAGTGTAGAAACCCAGAAGGCAGATATTCTTAAATTCATCAATGGGCTCTTTAAAAAACAACATGCCAATTACTAAGTCTTGCAGGAAATTACTTTCTCTTTGAGAAAGGAAGAGTAACATTCCTATCATGCTCTGGGTATCAGTTTAATACCACATAGCTAAGCCTTGGGATAGGATAGAGAAATCATAAGTAATTCTTGAAAACAATTTCAGAGTTAATTTCTTTTCGTTCTCTCTCTTTTTAAAAATATATTTTTATTCATTTCAGAGAGGAAGGGAGAGGGAGAGAAACATCAATGATTAGAATCATTGATTGGCTGCCTCTTGCACGCCCCCTACTGGGGCTCGAGCCCGCAACCTGGGCACGTGCCCTTGACTGGAATCGAAACTGGGACCCTTCAGTCTGTCGGCCTACACTCTTATTCATTGAGCCAAACCAGCTAG